AATTCATCAAGAGGAGCAGACAGAAGAAGGAAGTGAGTAGTTAATTAACCAAGAACACCTTTGTCCGGTTTGGTCAGCAAGGAACTGTAGGGCACTGTAAATGACGAAACAGAAGCAGTGCTTACACTGTATGGCTGCTGTAGATGACTCATTGGCCATGAAGGGAAGATCTCCAGTGTGGGGGGGCTAGCAGCAAGGTATCCAGCTGCTGCATACATACAAATGGAATTAAAGGTCTTTTCAAGGCTCCATCTCCAAGAGGCAGCAAAATTGGACAGAGAAGAGAGGAGTGAGGTGTCCGCTCTGTAGCCTGTGGGATCACACAATTTATGTTGTCTCCCAATCCAAACTGCATCTGGTCATGGCTAATCTGTGCTTGGCCAGGCAAAAGCCAAGTCATGCTGCCCTGTGCTTATCTACTGCGGTGTTGTGGGGAGGGCACAAAGCAAGAAAGAAGCCGATTCCATGGGTGGTTAAGGTTTGGATTAAAGGAGAGAGGTGTAGAGAAAAAGGCAGTCTTACTCTTACACTCTGTGTTCACATCACTTCCGATCATGCCATGATCAACAGAAGTACGGGTGCCATGGATAAGGGCCTCCTCCAACTCACCAAAGTAATAAGGAGCAGCTGCAGGTTGCAACTCCCTGGACCAAGCAGTAGTGCAGCGAGTTCGGCACCAATGAAAGCCATATGCAATATAAGGCAAAACAGATAAAAGCTTAAATTTTCAAGAAGGTAAAGGCAATGACTGAAAGTGAGGGTCAGAGGTGTACAGATAAGGATGAGGGCTAAAAACAGGAGCAGGAAGGTAAGATCACTTGCAGGATCAAGGCCTTAGGCATTAAGAAACTATTTGGTTTGTGGAAAGAGGTGTAATCCAATGAGACTATGAGAGGAAGCTCGGAATATATATACAGAAGAGTTTGTTATAAATATAGTTAGAAAGAGGATATGGGAAACACTATTTTATAGCAACTGTGCAAAAAAGAGCTTTAGCTGTGTTGTCTTTGCATTTACTAGTAGGAGCAAGAGAGAAATAGCAGAGGGAGTGAGGGATAGAGTAGAAAGGAGAAGCAGTACAAGAAATTGGCAGGGTGTGCAGCAGAAGCACGCCTTTGGGTTCCACATGCAATTGCTTGGCTGAATGATGCAGCTCTACCATGATCACTACTTGTCATGCACCACGAACTCTCCTCACCTTGCGCCATGAGAGTGAGCAGAGCTCAACTGCAAGGGAAGATAAGTGAGCTAGCTAGGTTCACATATATACATGTGTTTGATATATTCAAGAGAGGACCATAGAAGGAGCATATATAAATACCACATGGTAGGCCGTTCCTTCTGTTCTTGTTTGTCTTTTCCGACAATGGTAAGTTGAATCACCCTTGTGGTTTCATACACTACTGTGCCCCAAGGAAGATCTTGTGTCCTTTAGAACATGCCCTATGAGGCTGTTTCTCTTTCTGTTTTCACAAGATATAGAGAAATGAGGGCCGAGGAGGAATAGGTAGGGATGTGCTGATGTGGTAGGCCATTGCCAGGATTTCTGTCTCCTACTTCTTGCAACCACCTCTGATTTCTCATTGGCTACCCTCTGACTCCTCTGGGATAGCAAGTACATCAGTGGGGAGATGGAGATGGGAGGAGGAACGGCACAAAATCTTTTCCTAGAAAATAAAGGTTGAAATTTAGCAAGTTGCTCTAGATTTTTATCCACCTTCATATTCGAAAATGAAGATCCTTGCAATGCAAGAGTATTTGGGGGGCAGGAAACGGAATTTGTTTGACATTATCCATGAGACCGTGACTTCGAGTACTATAAGTATTTTCGCTTGAAGAGAAACTCAGACGTTTCAGCACTGCCTAGTTTCTCTGTTTGGAAATGCTATTGGACATGAGAATATATGTTCTAACCAAGTTGCTTGTTATTTAACTTATTAGTGCTTAACCCTTTGGATAAAGTAGGGCCGAGTATATTTGAAAAGAGTATGGTGTGGTGAAGTGCAGGTGCATTTATACTTTGTTTTTTTGATGGAAAGGAGCATTTATACTCACTGGAAAGTTCTCAGGTCTGCTCAGATTTGCTCAATCCTTTGCCTAGCTGAAGCTCAAGCTTTTCTTATTCTGACTTATGTCGTGCACTAGGAGAAAGGAGACTTTTATATGCTCTTCTCCTGCTACCAAACATTAGGCAAGCTCATGCGGTTACTGCAAGGAAAAAAAAAGAAATGTATCAGCAATCCAGGAATTCAATATTTTAGCAACTGGACTATTTTCGGTAATAGCGAGTTATCAGAATTTCTTGTATGAGATTTTCGAAGTAGAATGTGACTTTTTGTCAATATTTTAAACATTCGTGAATAATTACAAAGAATGGTGGAGAATAGCTAGATATTGAAATTTATACTAGCTAAATATAAATTCAAATATCCATGGAGTGGGTACTGGAAATTTCAACAACCAAATTTGAATGTAGATCTGACCCTAGTTTGAGATATCTCGGCCTAGTTTCAAAAGCACCATGCATGATATTAGGAATGGGGCCAAACTGTGGTATATAAAGCTCCATAGCATATAGCCTTTATGTCGCTTATTATTATTTTCTTCTAATGATTTTGTTTGTCATGGTTTTGCTCTTCTAGGGGTTGTACGAGTCTTGCTCTTCTAGGGGTTGTACGAGTCGTGTAAACTCTTTCTCTTCTTCTTAATATAATGATATGCTTTGAAGAAAAAGAAATAGACATGCGAGATTATGTAATTAAAGAAGAGAAAATGGCAATAAACCAATACGGATTTGTCTGTGGCAAATGGCTATTGCAAACACCGAACTATATTATATATCAACATTGTATCACTTGTTCAGCTTACAATCACTCCATGGCTCCATACAAGCATGGTCCTAACTGCTCGATTGCCACAACAATCTAGTCCAGTTTCAGATCTGCCACTTTTTAAATGGGAGAGAGTCCTTTAAAAAAAAGGAGAGAGTGGATCCATGCCTTTTGTGTTAAGTTCTTTCCAATTTTTTTGAAGGGGAGAGGAGGATCCATGCTGGTTGTGATAAAGAAGTCCGTGTCATGACAAAGAAAAAAAAATCAATGGTTCATTACTTCCTAAAAATCACAACACAATAGTAACACCACATCAAAATTGTGCTACAAACGGATTTTTTTTTTTTTTGTGAATGAAAGCTACAAACAGAATTAAAATGCTAGATGGAGGCTGGAGCACATCCAAATTCCTCAGCTGCAAGCCTGCAACCACTACTGCTTCAAGCATGCCAGTTCGCCGAATTAGGAGGCTCATTGGCAATTTCGATGCTTAACTAACATTTTGAAATTTTCGGCCCACTCGTGGACAACCTAATTCATCTACTACGATACTACCCCAACACCACGCCCAAAAAATGGATAAGTATACAGAGGAAATGCGGAACGCAAGGTATGCGCAAAATCCGTGCATGTCCATGTTAATTTCGGTTGGGATATCACTAGCGTGACAAACGCAACAAAATTCGCTGCGGAAATGAATGAAATTCATACCTTTCCATGACCGAATGCGATCGGGGCACAATAGTGAAGGGGATGAATACGTGTGGAGGTGCAGGCAGGACGCCGCAAGAAGAAGCGAACGAGCCCATGGAACTCGGTTCCTTTCCGCTGTGGACTGAGGTGGCGCACGCATGGCGCACCGCACACCGGCGGTGTGCTTTCTACATACGGAAGGGAGACACGGCGGAGCTGTGTCCAACGGCGACCAAGGGGAGATGATGCTTCGTTTCAGCTGCTGGGCCGTCCGCCCGCCTGCTGTGTTGTGGTGCCTGCGGTTTTTTTTACCCCAGTGCGAACCCCTCGGCCCGCGAGGTTGCTGTGACATACCAGCCCAGCGTGTCCTGCCAACGTGACTCGCCCGCCTTAGGTGAGGCCCAGCCAGGCATGGCCTGTCAGCGCGTCGGAGGTCGGACTGGGCTCACTCGGTCGGCCCATGAGCTCCAAGCCTCCCCAGTCGCAACTTTTTCCTTTTTGCCTTTAACTTTTTTTTTCTTTTTTTTAAAGGAAAAACAAAATTGGATCCCCGTGTCGCCGTTCGCCGCTGGGCTTTCGCCGCTCAGCCAGCGCTGACGAAACTCACCGAGTCATTGGCGGCCGTTGGCGTCGTCTACTCGCCGAAAACCTCGCCGAATCCCTGCCGCGGCGCAGAAACCCTCCGTCCCGGATTCCCCAACCTTCAGAATCCATCTGGTCGTCTCCTCTATAAAAGCGCCGGGAGGATCTGCCGACGTTGCCGTTCATAGGCGGCGGCTCTCCGGTGTCCTGCGCCTGCACTGCACCACCCCACTCTTCTTCCAGTGAAACGGGTCAGGTAAAATAAGCGATTTTTATGTACTAGTGATAAATCTATCTTGACCCGTTCTCGAATTGTGGTTTTACCTCTGTGTGTAGCAATGTTTGGTGGAGATTATTTTCCTAAGTGAGATTGGGGTTATTCTTGAAATCTTTGACTGCTTGCTGTTGTTCCCCTATCCCCCTATCAAGCCTCTCTAAATAGGATTCCAGATCCATTTTATGGGGGAATGTATTTTACCTAAACTCCATTTGTCATGTATTATTAGTTCAATTCCATTTTGTTGTCATGTATTATTAGTTCATTTGGTTCGTTCCGTTCAAATTATTTCATTTCAAAATCTGAAATATGAATTATAATCAAACCAAACACTTGGTAAATGAAATTGCCAAGTCAGTTGGCTCGGAAGTTGAAACCATATGGTGGCCTGATTGTTTTCCCCAGATTTTGGAACTAATGTGGCTGCTATCCAAACACCTGCAATCTAGCCTGTATTTGTTGTGTTCTCTTACGTGTAATGCCATTGTCTGGCTATCAACAAAGCACAGCTAATGTTCCCTTTTTTTTGCCAGTTTCAAGGGAAAATCTCCCCTGGAATTAATTATTGAGCCATCGGAGATTGCATTTGCCAGTGCAAGCAAATTCCAGAGCTAAGGATGGCAACACAGCTAGTTTTCTCCAATGCTTCCAGTTGCCAGTGCCCATTAGGCATTTCGCCAATAAATGTTAGGAAGACGCTTCTTGGTGAAAGTGCAACTTTTCAGAGAAAGAAGTGGTTTTCTGGTGATTCCTATCGCTTTTCTCGACTTGAGTGCTCTGCAAACTCCCGCCGAGCTGGGCCAAGGCGCACCAAGGATACCTTATATGACCTTCACCCTGAGATCTCCTTGCTTTATGGAGAAGAGAATGGTGCAGCTACGGTATCCAGCAAAGAGCAGGGTATTGACACTGCAGCTGAAAGATTGGTGGACGCTTCTCCCTCTTACTGCTACAATGAGCCCAGGATTAAAGTCATAGGCGTTGGAGGTGGTGGCTCCAATGCTGTGAACAGGATGATTGAAAGCTCCATGAAGGGTGTGGAATTCTGGATTGTGAACACTGATTTTCAGGCTATGCGGATGTCACCCATCGAACCAGAAAATAGGCTACAGATTGGCCAGGAATTGACACGTGGTCTTGGTGCTGGTGGGAACCCAGAAATTGGCATGAATGCAGCCAAGGAAAGCCAGGAATTGGTAGAACAGGCAGTTGCTGGTGCTGATATGGTTTTTGTGACGGTGAGTACATATTGCTCAAGCTGTTAAGCATCACATTTCAGTTTGATCTAGAATGGTGTGCATTTCTAGTCATCATGGTAGTTAGATAATATATAGGGATTTGTATAACCAAACCATGTTCCTTTGATTGAATGACCGATATAATGATATCTATCCATTCTTGAGAAGAATATGGTAACCCCTATTTTGATCCGCAAATTCATTTTGCAGGCTGGAATGGGAGGTGGGACAGGCACTGGCGGGGCACCTATCATTGCAGGGATTGCAAAGTCCATGGGTATATTGACTGTTGGAATTGTCACAACCCCATTTTCATTCGAGGGAAGAAGGCGGGCTCTTCAGGCACAAGAAGGAATTGCATCATTGAGAAGCAATGTCGATACACTGATTGTAATTCCAAATGACAAGTTACTGACTGCTGTATCCCCAAATACTCCTGTGACAGAAGCATTCAATTTGGCAGATGATATTCTTCGGCAAGGTGTTCGTGGGATATCAGATATAATCACTGTAAGAGAAACTGCTATATGTTATATCATCAATCTTACTCCTTTTGCGAATAAATTAAATCATTTTCTGTCCAAACTCTCCTGTTGTTGAAATGTTATGCGTTGTAGACAAGCATGCAATAAAGGATAAACAAACCCTACTGAATTACTGATGTTATATAAGTTATGCTAAAGATATACCCTTTTCCTTCTTGACCATGCACTGCCCCATGGTATGGGTTTTGTTTAGTGTAAGTCAACGCATCTGCACTGCCAACAGGTTTGAAACAGTGGTTTTACTGTCTAATTTTCTTTTTACATTGACGCAGAACCAACAACAAAGTAAAAGTTGAATAACATTGTTCTGCATTTGGTTTCTTCCTGTGTCATCCTTTTTGCAGAATTTGGTTTGTTGGCACGCCATTTGGAAATTGGAAAAGGAAAACTCATGCGCCTAAAAATTCAAACGCTTTTAACACGTGCTTTCTCATAATGTTCACCTAGATGACAATCGCATGCTATCTACTTGGCTAGAGTGGTCATTTCTATGTTTCATCTTTTGCTTGCAGGTGCCAGGTCTGGTGAATGTGGACTTCGCTGATGTTCGATCAGTTATGTCAGATGCTGGCTCATCGTTGATGGGCATTGGAACAGCAACAGGTTAAATTTCAGAATTCAGAGAACCATGTTTATTTAGAATCAAATACATACATGCATAGGTTCTGTCCTATGATCCTATCAAGTTCTCTGTGGAATCCTTAGCATATTATGCTATTGAAAAAAATTAATATGTAGTTTGAACGTCTAAATGGGAAGGGCGGGCCTGGTGCAAGCGGTAGAGTCTTACCGCCTGTGACCGGAAGGTCCCGGGTTCGAATTGCGGTCTCCTCGCATTGCACAGGCGAGGGTAAGGCTTGCCACTGACACCCTTCCTCAGACCCCGCACAGAGCGGGAGCTCTCTGCACTGGGTACGCCCCTTTTTGAACGTCTAAATGGGTACTAATAATGCTGTCTGAATTTCTATGCATCTGGAACATGTCCCCATTAACACATTGACAACTAACCCACACCTGCCAATCCTGTTGACCTCTTTGTAGGCAAGACACGAGCCAGAGATGCCGCACTCAATGCCATACAGTCTCCTCTACTTGATATTGGTATTGAAAGAGCAACTGGAATTGTATGGAATATCACTGGAGGGAATGATCTAACCTTGACGGAGGTAACATACATTCATATATATCATTTGTAGTGTTTCGCCAGTGCGTCAGCTTTTCAGGAGTTCCTCCTGAGGTTGCTTACTCCAGGTCATTAGTTGCCTGTGCGATAAGCAGGTCATGGTCGTGTTCTGGTCTGTGGTGGCGCCTCTCTTCTTTCCTTGTCTATCAGTGTGCGTGGGGTGTGTTGGGAGGGCCTGTTTTAGCCTCTTCCGTTCTCTTGTTCATTTTGTACTGCATCTTTTCTTAATGAGATAACATGCAGCTCTCTTGCGTTGTTACGGATGACTTCTTGAATAGTCAGAATACGTTCTAACTGAACCTCACCTGCCATCCTTTTCTACAGGTGAATGCTGCAGCTGAAGTAATCTATGATCTTGTTGACCCTGGTGCAAATCTGATTTTTGGCTCTGTTATAGATCCGTCATACACTGGTCAAGTATGTCATGGAATAACATTGTTTCTACTTTGTGGTTAAAATTGTTTTATGTATCAAAACTTAGAGGCCCATACATTTCACAACTGTACTTGATCCTATTGCCGTGTCAATAACATTATACATCTGTTCAGGTGAGCATAACTCTGATTGCAACTGGTTTCAAACGCCAGGAGGAAAGTGAGAGCCGGTCTTCACAGGTACCTATTGCGACTTCATTTGTCTACTTTCCCTTATTTCTTCTATGTATTCTCATGAGTCATGACACTCCTTGCCCAGGCTGGAGGAGACAGCAACCGCGGTTGCTCAGGTTGGTTTTCTCCCACTTCCCAGGAGGAAGGTCATGCATTGCAGATCCCAGAGTTCCTACAGAGGAAAGGGCGGTCAGGGTTTCCACGAGTCTGAACACACTTTGGTTTATTGTTTTTCTTGTCATGGTTTTTCCCCGTTATGGTAGTTTGGTATGATGCAGGTTTGGTTTCTAGGTCTCTTAGTTATAGCAAGGTAGAGCAGATGTTTGAATCCTAACTGTAGTTCGTACCGTATCCTATCTGTGTGCAAACTACGCCGGCCGAGTAGATTGGCTGGGCGGCTCTGCTTCTCAGGAACCTGCAGTGAATCGGGATCTGAGATCTCAATTTGCGAGTTATGAATAAAAGTCAGCGCTGAGATCAAATTATAATGCTCCGGCCTCCGTGTGAAGGATTACACCTCCAATTTCCTTTGCTTTGCATTGTGTGTCTGGTGTAGTAACAACCTCTAACCGATGATTATATGACGCGTGGCATACAGCAGATTGATTGATTTCATTAGTTATTTTTGTTTCGTTCAAAGTTTGGTACATATGAGTCGTGTACTCATGTTGTTGCTCACTTGCAGTGCATGACGTATCATTCATGTTTCGGCTTGGTTCGCATTTGTCCTTATTTTAGAGCATCCCAATAGTTTTTAAAAAATAAGCATGTCAAGAGTTTTTTCAAACTATTGGAGATGCTCTTAAAACTTCTACTTGAGTCACCTTTCCATCCTTTTGCTTTATAAAAAATTCTATTTGCATGCCGACAGGGACGACAACCACCATGCAAAAACGATTTCAACCTTAGGAGATTAAAGGTTTTTCACGTGGCTACATGGTGCTCATTGTTCACATGTAAATATAAATATCTTTAAACTTTTTAAAAGTATCTCTTTACTCTGTTATAGAATACCATCACATAGGATGGAGAAAGGTTGTTGATAATATGACTGCAGGATGTAGAATACAAGAGGTAAAAATTGGTGCATCTAAGCAGGCTAAGTCCGGAGAGGCATATGTGCTCTTCCTACCAAACTGTCCCAATTCATTCATTGTACACACCAAACGTGCTTCCACCGATGACCCAATCAGACATCGACGGAGGTCCTACGAGCCATCAGCTCGTCCACTAAACGCCCGACATCATCGTAAGAGGACCCACCCTTGGCCACCGCACGCCTAGCCTTCTCCCCGAGCTTCTCTGCCTTCTCCCGTATTGCCTCCGCTGCCTCGCCGTCACCCATCACTTTCCCGATGGCCTCCGCGATCACCTCCCCGCCGATCATGCGCCGGGTCTCCAGCTTCGACGCGTAGTCCACGGACCCGACGCCGACACCGACCTTGAGCAGCTCCACTACCAGCTTCTCGTTGTAGAACTGGTCGGCGTAGCGCGGCCACGTCACCATAGGCACGCCGGCGCTCACGGCCTCCAGCGTCGAGTTCCACCCGCAGTGCGTCACGAACCCGCCCACCGCCGGGTGGGTCAGGATCAGCATCTGCGGCGCCCAGCCCCGGATGATGAAGCCGCGGTCGCCGCGCACCATCAGCTCCGCGAACCCGTCGGGCATCCATTCCGACTCCTCAGTGTCCGCGTCACCGATGACCCAGACGAAGTTCTTGCCGGACAGGTCGAGACAGCGTGCCGAAGGACACGTACACCACCGAGCCCTCCGGCTTGGTGTCGAGCCACTGCTGGCAGCCGTCCGCGTCCGGCGAGGGCCCGTTGCTGGCGCCCCTCGTCGCCGCGTCCTTGCTGGCAAGCGCGACCGGCCCGACGAGCCATACGCGGCGCCCGAGCGTCGTGGTGTAGTGCTCCAAGTAGTCCGGCTCCAGCTCGTGGAAGCTGTTGAACACCTCGCCGTAGCTCCTCTGGTCCGCGGCGTTCATGCGCTGGAAGAAGGCCCAGTGCTCCGGCCGCTTCTTGGGCTCCGTCATCTGGCTGCGCCTCAGCTCGACGCGGTGCGGCAACCCCGGAAGCAGCACGAGCGCGTCCGGGTCGTCGGGGGCGGCCTCCACGGGGTTGTTGCGCACCGTAGTTTCGCTGCAGGCCCGGGAGAACAAGCTGCTGCCGAGGAACGCTATCCGCGGGACGCCGTGCTCCGCGGCGGCATCGGCGGACCAGTCGAAGAAGCTGTCGGTCACGACGGCGTCGGGGCGATTCTCCACCAAGAACCGGTCGAACGGCTCGCGGAGGAGTAACCGGGCCCCGTGGAAGAACTTTTCGCGGTCGGCCGCCGAATTAAGGGCCGGGGCGCACTCGACGCCGGGGGGCAGCCCGACGTCGAGGAAGGGCACGACGGCGATGTCGATGGCCAGGGCGCCCTCGGTGCCGCGGGAGGAGTCGTTGGCGCGGTCCACTGCCGAGCGGATGACTTGGGCGTTCACCGGGTGGTGAGGACATGGTTTGCTTTTTCGGTGGAAATCTCCTAATATTTCTAATATATTTTTTTATCCGTAGGTGCCGATAAAAAAATATCTATTTTTTCTACAAATTTTATTTAAATTTGATCCGATATTTTTGATATATTCTATTTATTCTCTTTTTATCTGTGACCTTCGATAAATTTTAATTTTCGAAAATAAAAACCTTAGGTGAGGATGGTGCACTTGACGCCTCGGGCGGCGAAGAGCGCGGCTATGTCGACGATCGGGATGAGGGGCCCCGGCGCGAGGAACGGGAAGAAGAGGATGTGCAGCGGCTGCTCCTCCTCATCTTTGATGGCCATGGCTGGGTGCGTGCCGGCGCCTGCGAAGCTGCGCTCTTGCAGAGTAGATCAGGTGGGAGGGAGGGCAGTTACAAGGAAGGGCGTAGCTAGAAAGCGGGTTAAGCAAGAAATCTGGAAACTTTTGGCGGAAGATAGCTGTGTACCAGATGATGATCCGGAGTAGCAAGAACAGTCTCTGTAATGATGATCCGGGACACGCGCCATCAGCTTCTTACCTTCGTATAAGCCTAGAGTTTACCAGCTGTGAATTCCAGGTATTCCACGAGTCAGCAATGCGCTGCAGTGTTTTGGTAACTCGTTTGTCTCCGACAACCGTTACATAGAATATAAGATTTATTCCACATTTAGATAGCGCTATATATAAATAATTTCATATCTATTTTTGTCCTCTTTAACAGCAAGCAAAATATAAAAGAGAATCATTTCTACAAATATATCCATAAGAGAGAGGATACTCAACTTTGATTATACCTCACAGAACATCTAAAATAAATCTTTCGAGACTACCGTGAATATTGTATCGGACACTCCATTTTAGATTTTGGTCTCCTCGTACGTCTCGAGACAGCCTAACGGATGCTTCAGAAGTTCAGATGATAACGAAACATTGACTGGCTGGCTCCTGTCCCGTGCGTGACCTCCCCCAGAGGCCCAGGCCCCCACCAAAACTTGCCTCGTTACTCCGCTTCATCTGCGGTGAAGAAATGTTCGAGCGCGTTGATGAATGATTGAAGCGACTCGAGAAAAGTACTCGTTCGTTTCGTCATCGCTTAGGCCCTGTTTAATTTCTAAAAATTTTCACACTAAAGTATGACATCGAATCTTACGACACATGCACGAAGTACTAAATATAGACGGAAAAAAATTAATTACACACTTAGGTGAGAAATCACGAGACGAAACTTTCAAACCTAATTAATCCATAATTAGACACTAATTACTAAATACAAACAAAATGCTACAGATAGCCAAAACAAAAAAATTTTCACCATCTAAACGCGCCCTTAATTTTCCCGCCGAGTGCTGCAGTTCCCGGCAACGGATAACGAGTCATGGGGGCAGGTCAGAGTGTACTTGTACGTGTCCCATAAATAAATGTAATGTACTTTGGTGTGTGGTGTGGGTGTGTTCAAGCGTTGCGTGAACCGGCTTGCATCTTCTATTCAGCGTGTTCAGCATCAGTCGAGCTTATCAGTTTAGAAACGAATCGACAAAGAGTCCAATTATTACGTACCGTCGTGCTGAGTGAACGCCACTGCCCGCAGCGCACTGAAGAGCCACCGCTCCGCGCTCCATCCTGTCCTGCCATGCGCCACAACGTCGTGGTCTTCAAGTACAACTCGATGAATTTCCTGTGCGTTGCCGCAGGATTTAAGAAAACTTTATCATTGAAAGAAGCAAAATATTTTAGATGAAGGATTAAGGAGAGCATGCAGGGGATTTAGAGTTTGCTGAGAGCTTGATATGGTGCATTATTTTTCAAATGAAGGAAGCTATATGTCTATATGATGGACACCTAGGATATACTGTGCATGGATGCATCCATAAAAATGACTATATGGCTATATGTCTTCGCGTTGTGTTTTGAGGGAAAAATATGACTAGACAAATGGTGTGAGCCAAGTTTAGAAATAACAAACTGTTAGTAGACGGAAGCCTCCAAACAGAATTTACAACTTATTCATAAACTATAAGAGCATCTTCAAGAGTTTCTTACTTTTTTTTCTCCTAAAAATTTAGAGTTTGGCAACTTTAAAAAAAATTGAGAAGAAAAAGAAAGATTATCTTCAAAAATTTCTAATAAATGACATCTAAAAACATCTGCGTACGTCGCACGAGCCAGTGGCCCGCGCATCCACAGCCGCAATTGCTCCCCTCCTGCCGGTGGCGAGCACCGGGTGCCGGGCGCCCGTCGACGTCCATGTCCTCTTCTGAAAGATGCGCCGAAACACCAAAGATGCGCTGCAGGTGACAGTGAGCTAGTGTGTGTGAGTAGAAGCAGCAAGCTGGAAAAAATGGCGCCTTGCTCTGCTCCTCGCTCGTCTCCCGTCCACCATTTGTGTGTGCACATCCTACTAGCGTACTTGCTCGCGGCGCGGTGGCTCGTGCCATCCTGCTCGGCTTCGTCCTTCTTCCGCGTCCCTTGGGCCGCCGGGCGGCACGACTACCGTGACGCGCTGGCCAAGTCCATCCTCTTCTTCGAGGGCCAGCGCTCGGGGCGTTTGCCGCCGGGCCAGCGAGCGTCGTGGCGCGGGGACTCCGGCGTGTCGGACGGCGCCGCGGCCGGGGTCGACCTGGAGGGCGGGTACTACGACGCCGGCGACAACGTCAAGTTCGGCTTCCCCATGGCGTTCACCACCACCATGCTGGCCTGGAGCGTCGTCGAGTTCGGCGACTCCATGCCGCGCGACGAGCGCCGCCACGCCGCCGCCGCAGCCGCCGTCCGCATCCACAGCTGCAATCGCTCTCCTCCAGCCGGTGGCGAGCACCGGGTGCCCCCGCAGCGCCTCGGATCGGAGCACCTGCAGCCAGGCCGAGAACGACTCGTCCCGCACGGCCGCCCCCGCGCCGCCCTCGGCGGCATCCACCACGGCACGTACCTTCGAGACGAGCTCCGGTACACGAGCGTGGACGCCACGCCGCGGACCTCGGCGGACACCGCGACGCGCCACAGCCGATACGCGGAGTCGGAGGTGCGCGCAAAGTTACGTGGACTGGATCAGGTTTTCCGAGGTGCCTAAATTTTAGAGTTAAGAATAGGAGTTGTTGAGAGGATTTTTTTTATCTTTCTAAAAAATAAAGATTAGAAGAGGGTTTAGAGAACTCTTGGAGATGCTATTATATAGAAACTTAGACCCTATTTGGTATTAGGAAACTACACTTTATATATATAAAAAAAAAGATTGCACTCAACAGGATTTGAACCTATACCAAATAATACATAGATGTGCAAAACAAATATAGAGTGAAACTCTACAGGCCTGATTGGTTGCATGTGCGACTTGGCCTGGCTCGTAACATGGAACCAACTCCCATGGAACAGGCTGAGTACATGTGACACTGTCATATTTTGTTGTTGTATATATTGAGCCTAAAAAGGGATAGTATTTTTTTTCTCGCACAAAGATATAACACATTAGACAAAAGTGTATAAACATTTGTGATTGAAATATTTCTTTTGGAAAAATATACTTTAATGGTTCTTACTTTATCTTATTATAAATCTTGATATCCTTTAAAATATGTTAATATCGTTCAATATGCACGAACCTGGCTCGCTAAAAACAGTTAAAAGAATGGAAGGGCTAGTGCCCGGACGTCCGGCCCCAAGCCCGCGCTCGCATTAGATCGCGCGCCAGCGAAATCGCATCCGCCCGCCTACGACCGGTCCCGCACCAGTGACCACGTCCGACCATCCGCGATTCGATCCCCATCCCGGCAGCGCCCCTGGTGTCAAGGCCGCCACGCTCCTTCCCTGCAACGCCGCGCTCCTCCCCTCGCCGTGGCGCCATCCTCGTCACGCCCATTGTCCTCCACCGTGCTCTATCTCGGTGGCGTCCCTTCCCCTTCTTAACGTCTCATCTCCTCTGCAACATCCGTCCGACCGTTGCAACATATGTAGTATACTATTGAAACATACTTGTATAGTCATTACAACATCTAGATGAAACACATGAAACATGCGTCTGAAAACAGTTGAAACATTTGGAACATACATCTAAAATAGATGAAACACGTAGAACATACACTCGAAACATATATGTGTAACCATTGCAACATATGCAACATCAAGATGAAACACATGAAACATACATATGAAACACATGAAACGCGTGAAACATACGTTTGAAACATCTGAAACACTTAAAACATATATTTGCAACATACATATACAACCATTGCAACATACGCATATAGATAAAACACTTGAAAACAACTTCTGAAACACACCTGAAACAAAACATGGCGCCGCCGGCAACCATGGCCTACTTGGCTCGGATCTCCGTGGTGGGGGAAGGACACGTGCATGGTGGGGGAAGGGCACGCGGCGCTACGGGAGATAGACATGCAATGGGGGAAGAGGGCCGGCGGATGAGCAGCCACGTCGTGGCTCAGCCACGTGGCCGCGCGTGCAGGCCGGCTCGGTGACGAGCACCAGGTCTAGGCGGGGCACGGGGGCAACGGCCGGTGGGGTGGCCACGCGCGCAGGGCGGCTTCGGTGTCGAGCGTTAGGCCTAGGCGGGGGCATGGGCCAGTGGCAGACGGGGTGCCTCTCGGGCAGCTCGGCCTCGGCGCTCGGGGCGACAGCGCTCGCGTTTGAAGTCAGAGGCGGAAATTTTGCGTCGCGGCCTCGAGGGCCACGGGATGAGCGGACAAGAAGTGGAGATTTTTTTTTGTGTTTAGAAGATGGGGCCATGTGTGGGGGCCATGTCTAGACACAGAGTCGCGGACGGATGTCTTGATATGATAGGAGCATTATTGATAAAAGAATCCATATCCGTTGGCTGTGGGTTGTTTTTTACACCAACGGGATAGGCTCTAACGCTTGTGCAGGTATCTAAATGTGGGAGACTATAATTTATTAATACTATGACTTTTTTAAATTTGTAAAGCTTGGTGTTGTCTACTATCTTCGTCCCAAAATAAATGCACATCTCGTTTCCCGAAGTCAGCCTTTTTAAAGTTTGATTGATCAGATATATATAAAAAAGTATACTAATGTTTATGATGTATAATAAATATTATTAGATTGTACATAGAATATTGTTGGATATCGATATTAGGGATACCCAAAGCAAAGAAGTTAGCGTCCATGCTAACTTCCCTGGATGGGGCAAGACATATTAAAAAGTCTCGCTCGACCCTAAGGACGTGGACTCCGTCTCGTTCGACCTCGAGGCCGCGGGCTCCATCTCGCCCGACCCCAAGGACGCGGGTTCCGTCTCGTCCGACAGAGACCCATACCACCGCCAACCACTCCAGGTCCAAGCGTATGGGCCAGAATCAAAACTCTGACACTAGGGAAGAGACTTGCACGCCTCGATGTAATCCGTGGTAATAACGGGCCGGTACCTGAGGATTCACATCAAGAACAGTATCGGGCGTACCAGTGCTATTCTGTCTTACCCTCGTACGAACTCTGACATGTGCGTCAGTTCACCACGGTGTCCGTTGGGACGAAATAGAACGCAGTGACCGGTAGATGACGCCTGCGCATGGTGCTAGTGACGAATGGGACCACGACGTGGGGAGCCATCCCTGTTGACATCTACAGGATCGGCGGGACCCACATGAAGGAGAAGAAGGACCCGACGATCCTGGAAGCCTTCTTCTCTCTCGTTCTTCTCCTTTTCCTCCGCTGTAACCCGCGCTTTCCCTTCGCCTCTAAAAGAAAAAGCAGGGCGTCCCATGAAGGAGGATCTAGATCCGCACGAGACCGAACCACAAGATAAAAACACAAGAGCACGACACGAGCACACGGCTGAGCAGCGATCGAACTCTCAGCACCTGTTCACTCCTTTCACCAGAGACTTATGATCCTTTTTCTCTCTCGCCTGTTTATAACCCCTGCTTCAAACCAAGTGCGGTAACACGAGCAACAACAAACTGGACGTAGGGATGTTCCGTCCGAACCAATATGAACCCCTGTGTCCTCCGAACACACCATCCGAGCTAGACGCGCAAATACAGATTTACTCGTCGGTGATCCAAAAACACCGACAAATATACTTTCACAATATACTTATTTAGAGATAAAAATATTGGTACTATTTTCTATATTTCTAGTTAAACTTAAAAAATTTGATTTCTCGTAAAGCGAGATGTCCATTTATTTTGTGACGGATGAAGTATTTTGTAAACTATAATAATTTCTAAAACTATAAAATTATTTTGCATCGTGCCTTTTAGACCTCTATTGGGAAAATACAGTAATTTCACAGATCAATTCAATTCAATCTCACGTGAAACACATCGAAAAGGAAAGTCTCACTTTCCGCTTCAACCGGAAAGACAACCTGGCTGTTCGTTCGTGAAGCACAAACCCAGAAGAGGAAAAGGAGGAGCCGGACGGAGCGCAACGGAACCGCAACAAGCGACACCAACGAAACGAATTTCCCCTCCAAAAACGAGCTCCAGAGCCACAACGCACGAATTCGCCCTCGCGCGCTGTCTCGCAGCGCGCCCCGTACCCCCCTCCTGACCGTTTGGAGCCCATTCGGCGGCGGGACGGACAGGATCCCGCTCCATGGCGGAGGGCTTCGGGCGCTGGGAGTCGGATCCGCTCTTCCCCGCCGCCGAGTACGTGCAGGACTCCGCCGACAGGTACGGCCTCCGCTCGCCCTGCTGCCTGCTTCTTCCTTGATCTGCTTGCTGCCTGGCGCCGGAGTCCCACTCTAGGTTGGTAGTCGTTGCCTCGTGAGATTCGTGGCCGTTTAGGAAATTCATTGCCTGTTCTGGAACTGGGACCAATTTTGGAGCCCCGGAATCTGTCTGTGTGGTTTCTTCTGTTTGTCTAAATCATTTGCGAATTAGAATTTTGGACCTCTATAAGACTAGAATAGTAGGTGAGTTTGAATGGCGGAGATCCTCTGGTTACCTGAAGTTTCATTTCGCACTTCATGATAAATTATGAGAACATGAGTTTGGCAATTTGTTTCCATATAAAAAGTTCCTGAGAGGCATTCAAGCACTGTCACGACTGCGGTGGAGCCCTCCAGGGAAAAGATCGCGGTTGTATATCTGAGGCATGCCTTTCTGGTGGCATGAATCTGTTCTATTCATCTGTCGATGGAACCCCGAGCAATGGGTTAGCATAATTTTAGTTGGTTACTTGGTTACAAGTATCATGTCCGGCCATAGCTTATGTTTTAACGAAACTAGTTTTTCTACCAGTGGGACATTGACTCGTGTCCCCAAAAACTGCAGAAAATTAATAGTGCTTTCTCAGTGTTAATGAACAATAATTATTTGGCTCCCATGAGGATGCGCATCCTGATGCACCTTGGATTGTCAAGATTCGTTCTAATGGTGGTTTGGGGTTTAGAGTATGCAATTCTCACCAGACTGCTCCTTGGCCTTAAAGTGTGTGGGTGTGTGTGTGTGTGTGGGGGGCGGCTGGCCAGTGATGATGGTGCGGACATGGCGGCGGCAGTCGGAGCCATAGGAGGCGGAAGACAACCTGACAGGTGGTGCCTGGGCGGCAGCACCATGTGTGGCTCAGCTTGTGTGGAAGCAGGAAGCAGCGGCACATCCATTAGCAAGACCTGCCAGAGATAATGAAGGCTGGTAGGGTGGGGGCATCACATCTTGCTGGGTTTGTGTGGAGGTGGGAAGCGGTGGCAGATTCGGCTGCTGGAGCAGGAACCATCATTTTGCGTAGGTTGTTGGAGGTGAGGAAGCCAGTTCTGTTTCCCTCCATCTACTTGGACGGCCAAGATGTCGAGGACACCTGTTCCTGGGCACTGTTTCCGCTTTGGTTAATGATAAGAGGGCATTTCCAATGCTGAAAGCTCCCACGCAAGGTATGGTCTTGGGAAGGGAATTTCTAGGCAGCCGTACCCTTGCTTATTTCAGTGTTAACAGGCTGTGCAGATTTTGTTCTGATTAGAATTTGGTAACTTTCTTATTACAGACCTATGGCTTTTTCGCTTCCTCATGTTAATATGGTACCTTATGGGAGATTAGAATTAATGTGTATATGCCTTTTCTAGAAGGAACTAGGAAGAAATGTGCAATTTAATTGTTTTATATTGGTGAGGTACAGTTCATGCAAGCGGTAGTCTTACCGCCTGTGACTGGAAGGTCCCGGGTTCGAGTAGCAGTCTCCTTGCATTGCACAGGTGAGGGTAAGGCTTGCCACTGACACCCTTCCCCAGACCCCGCACAGAGCGGGAGCTCTCTGCACTGGGTACGCTCTTACAGTTCATTAAATGCCACCACCAAGTATTTGTGTTCAATCTTGCATGATACTAAGGCTTTGCATTGCTGTGGCTTTTCAAAAGCATTTGTTTTTTTGCTAAATTTGGATGGTGTGGTTTGTCAGAAGCATCTTTTTAAGGACCTGTCACTGCAAACTGTTTCTGGGATTTGTAAAGGTTTCCGCAAAAGCTAGGTTTTGCAGCGTAGCAGCACTACAACCTTAAATTGGCCCTAAGTAGTATAAGTGGATGTCAGGCTATACAGATCTTGCTTACATTTGACAAAGAATAAGTAATGGGCGGCAGCTTGCTGATTGTATTGATATCTCCTTTTCGATTGGTGTACAGAATGGAGGGTGTCTACCGCCTGCTTTTGCATGAAAGGAAAGTTATGCAGGGTGGTACTTCCGATGCAAAGTTTCATGCTCCAATACAATACGAGAGAGATGTGATTACTGCTCTTGGAACTACCGAATGGCAGGTTCAAACAGTCAAGCTTTCCATATATAGCCTCCAACCACTCCGAGTCTTGTATGATTTATCAATATTTTAGAGACTAACATTTGCATTTGTTTCTTCTAAGGCATTTACTTTCTAACTTGCAGCTGGAGCAATTTGAGAGGGAGGTGAATGCAGCTGCATTCTCTGACAAGTCAAAGTCAAGAGAAAATGCAATCTTAAAATTTAGGCAATTCATTAGAGCTATAGCGGACCAGATTTCTCAGGTGGAAGAAAGCTTGGAGAGTCTTAGGCTAGGTTCTAGTAGAACTCCAAAACATTCATACTCAAGCGAATATGATGGAGATGGGCTGGCATCATTTCTTTCTGGTTCCAGCAAGGATGACCATGCATATCATTCCACTGGTACAGATGAAATTGTGGAGCTTAAGCTCGACAATGTTCCTTTAGTAAATGGCTATCATTCCACACAAGAATATACAACATACGAACACAGGAATTCAGATAAAGATGTGGAAGGAGCGGGGAGTGCATGTGAAGGAGATCATAACAATAGGAATATGTATGTTTTGGATGCTGATGACTCTATAAGTTGGAGGCTTTTTTGCAAAAACAAACTAAGCAGACAATACCGTAGTTTTATAAGAAACCTATGGTTTGCAAAACAAGGTCGTGAAAGCTTTACGAAGAGGAGGAAGGATGGAGAAGATATGGATAGCTTGAGAAATGGAAACATGCTACCTTCTTTCAATCTACCTCAATCTGGAAGGGTAGTTTACTCTTTCTTAATCACGTGTTTCATTTTCTGATTCTCTGCATGCTGTAATCTATTTTAGGCTAAAAGTTTTCTGGCGCTTCAAGTAATTTTTTCTGTGCACTAATATTTACATATAATAACTTTATATTTATATTGTTGCAGGTTATGTATTTCTGGCCCGAGGTCATTAAGAGGAGATTATGTAGATCTGAGTATTTTACAGATCATAATCGTCCTCAAATCCGTTTAGTGACAGCAGTACTGATTGCACTTGCTGTTCTCTGTGAGTTTCTTTCTTCCATGGGTCATCTGTTCTTTTTAAGCATTTAAATCTGATGATTGATCACATTGTTTTGGAACAAAAGGGTTAAATTAACAGAAGAAATTAAACCAGATGTTTATTGTTTATACCTTAAGAAAAATGAAGAACAGAACACCCTTATTTTCGTGCTGTTCTATGTTCCCTCAGACCCTCACAAATATACGTCATCAGTTAGTGTAACTGATAGCTTTCCTGAAAACTGGATTGCTGGAAATGAAAGGTCCAGGGTTGATAACTCTTTAATACCATTAGTATTCATTTTGCATATGATTTGTAACACAGTGTTAGTTATTTCTTTTGACTAAGGATATGTTTGCATACCAAGGGCTAATTGTTAGCTAGCTAAAAATAGCCCTAGCGCATCTAAATAGGAGAGCTAATAGGTGGGTTAATTTTTTAGCTAAGCATTCAACTAGTTATTAGCAACTCCAACAGCTTGGCTATTCTTGTTTTGGAGGCTGTTTTAGAATTTGTATAGCAAAAAGTAGGCTCCAACAGATGTGCTATCTGGCTTTGTAAAATAGGAAGCTGGCTATCCCTTGATTTTCGGTTGCTATAAAAAGGCGACCACGGATGCTCGCTATCTAGAGATGAGAAATAGCAAGGCCGTTGTAGACCTCTTCTTTGTTGTAGACCTCTTCTTTTTTGAGGAGTTTTCTATTTTACAAAATAGCTACAACTATGGAATTTGGCTACTAATTTTAGCCAACACCCTGTTCGCTTGGGGTTGTTTGGCTTATAAGCCGTACTTTTTCAGTTTTTCTCTCACACCAAATCAGCCAATAGTACTTTCAGCCATTTTTCTCTCACACCAAATCAACCAACAGTACTTTCAGCCATAGCTTATCAGCCAAACAAGTCCAAGCGAACAGGGCGCAAGCTGTTGGAGTTGCTCAGGCACCTAAGCTAGCCAACCCCAGCTAATTTGGGCCCATTTTTAGCCCCAACTATTAACTAGCCCTAACCCCTAGCTGATCCAAACAGGCCCTAAGACAACATAGAACTGTAGAAAATTGGTGTGAACTGCCTATGTGATTCTTGAAATGCCATTTTATGTGTTTAATATTCTTTTACTATCTAATGTTTAGCGAACTCTTTACTTTGATCAGCAAAGTTGTAGATTATCTGTTGGAGATCTAACTGGAATCTGACCAGGATAAATTTTCGTGCAATCTGTTCTGTTCCCATTTATCTGAGATGATTTCCTGCTTGCTGCAGGCTTGCTGGTATCCCATGTGAAATAACTGGATCCCGTGAATCTAGTTTTGGTTCACGTTGTGTTATATATTGCCACAGTCCACGGTGTACTCATACTGATCATGCTTGTGCCCTGTCATGGATTCTGGAGGACCATCATTGTTTCGAAGAGCTTCAATGTTGCACTCCAATTTGCCATGCCCTGCAGATGGAGGTTTGGAAACGGCCTTTTGCGGTTGATAGCTTTGGTTGCTCTGTCATTGGCATGACCTGTCACCAGCACATCTAAAAAAAAAAATCACTAATCCCTGTATTTGTTCAGAGCCTCCACATGTTGTAACAGTTTTTGCTCACACATCTGATATAACTACCTGATCAGCGAGACTGGATCCGGAGTGTAGAATTTTTGGGTTGCGGTTACCTTGTGTTAATATATTGTTATGCAAGTGAAGGCCGAATTGAATAGAAATGATTCATTGTATTGTACCTGTTGGGTTCATAAACTTGGGGTCTCTCATGCACCGGCTTTCCAACAAAGGCTTGGTCCAGCAGACAACGTTGCGAATGACGCGTAATTCCTGGGCCGGTCCAAATACCTGAACGACAGGCCAGAAGGGCGATCTAATCTTCGATCGGAAGGCCTGGCCGAGGAGGAACGGCGTCCGCTTCCGATCTTGGCCCATTTCTCCGACCGGAGCGCTCGCTTCCGACTTCGGCCCACCTCCGGACGGCCTCTCCGACCGGAAGGCCTGGCCAAACACCACTTCTGATTCACCGGGGATGCGCTGAATTCTTGCTTATAGTTCTCCGACTGGCGCAATCAGAGCCGACCGGGGACGCCCGCTCGGTGAGAACCAGGAAACGGACGGAGAGAGTAAGGCAGGGCAATCAAGTCAACCGTAATATCAATGACCGTACCATGTACACCTGCGGGACAATACCAACAGGGCATGTCAGAACCCAAGCAGTGTTATGGGCGCCGATATTTGCCCTACAGTGTTGTGGGCACCATCAACTCCCATACCAAACAAACACGATAAGGCTCCCCCACATGCCTCTAGGCATCAACAATGTTGTGGGCGTTGGCATTTACCCTACCAGGGGAACACGGTAAAACCCTTGCATACCTCTGGGCATCGACAGTATGGCAGGCACCGACATCTGCCATACCAGAAGAAGACGATGCAACCTCCCACATGCATCTGACATAAACAGTGTTATGGACGCTTACAATCATCCTGTACCCGATGGCATGGGTAACAAGACTTAGCATACATACACTCTCTCTCGCTTGTAAGGTCGTCCCCTTCATCTATAAAAGGAGATGCGCTCTCTCCCAACAAATAGATTCCCAGAGTTCACTAGTACCCAACAACAGAACCACCAGGTTCAAACCTCGAGCACACACTCGAACACTTAGCACATAGCGGAGCTCCCATCACTCTCGGCCCCATCGTCCGCAAGAAGCGCCTCACCAAGGTGCTGATGGACGGAGGCAGCGGCCTCAACATCCTCTACGTCGACACCCTCGACGCCATGCACATCCCCTGGTCGGAGCTCCGCCCAACGGGCTCTCCCTTCCACGGCATGATCCCGGGAGCGCAGGCGTACCCGCTCGGTAGATCAACCTACCCGTCACGTTTGGCAACCGAGCCAACTTCCGCTCAGAGGTTCTCACCTTCGAGGTGGTGGACTTCCCGGGGTCCTACCACGCCATCCTAGGGCGGCCAAGCTACGCTAAGTTCATGACTATCCCCAACTATACCTACCTCAAGCTGAAGATGCCGGGACCAAACGGCGTCATCACTGTGGGTAGCGCCTTCTCGCACGGCTTCATGTGCGACTGTGAGCATTTTGAGCTCGCCACGACCGTCATCAACTCGTCCGAGCTCCAGTGGCTCGGGGAGTCGTCGACCCCAGCAGTCCCGGACTGCAACAAACCAACCTCCTCGATGGCCTTTCGCCCACTCAAGGAAACCAAGGCGGTGGGAATCGACCCCACTGACCCCATCAAGACGGTGTGGATCAGGACCCAGCTCCTGGCCAAATAGGAATGTGAGCTCGTCGACTTCCTGCGCGCCAATCGTGATGTCTTCACATGGCAGCCTTCTGACATGTCGGGCATACCGCAGGAGGTCGCCGAGCACGCACTGCGCCTCATCCTGGGCTCCAAGCCCACCAAACAACGCCTACGTCGTGTAACACCCTCGGTGTTACATTGTACTATTTTGCTAAAACACTGCATGAGCATCATACTTGTTTGTACATGTGTGTAATTTAGAGTATAAATCAAATATGGCACTTGAAACGTTTATCCAAAACATGAAACAAATGTAACATTTCATGTCGCTTTACATCGTTAGTATGCTAAGCAAAATTTTATCGGATAAAAATGTTGTAGAACGTTTATGCGAGCTTTAATAAAATTTGTGGTACGTGCTTCGTAGTCGACGATGGTGCGGTCGGGGACAAGGATAGCTAGCTAGTACATCTAGTAGGCCGGAATTGGAATTTGACGCAAAACCGTTCAAAGTTTAAGTCGTTTCGCGAAGTCTATAAAGGGGTCGACGAAGCCATGTTTGGCAAGCTTTGTAGGGAAATCGGCTAAAGAAGTAGTGTGATGTCGTGGCAGGGGTCGGTAGCCTTACGTACCCTCTTGCGTCTAAAAGAATTGGTTTGGTGTTTGGACCATTGGTTAGGATTTTGCGACAGCTTTAAAAACCGTGCACGTCACCTATTTCGAACGGTGCTGCGCTGGTTGTGGTCACCATTACTGCCTCGGCTGCCTGCCTCCGCACGCAAAGCGCACTGCGCACGGGTCCTATCAGCTCTGCCTCGCCGTCGCGTCGCGTGGTACCTTGGTCGCGCTACATGCCACCCATCGCCGCACCCTGGCCCCGTTGACTCGCCGCAGCTGCACTCATGTGGGACGACCGCCTGCTGCCACCATCACTTCGGCATCGCGTCGCACTCTGGTTCCTTGTCCGGTGCCGTCCGCGGTGACGTAGGCCCGGGCTTCGTCGCCTTGCGGGTCGGTCGTGCGGACAGCCGCCTGGAGCGCACCTCGCTATCCTTGTCGTTCGTGGGCGTTGGTACTTTGCGTTGACAGCTCCGTGTGTGCCAAGCCAAGCCGTGCCAAAGCCCCTGTCTCCGCTGTCGCCATGACTGGCGGGACCTCTTTCCTTCAATTCGTAGTGACCGCAGCACTTTAATCAAATTCATCGCATCCTCAGCTCCGCTAGGTAGCTGGCCGCGCAACCGTCCCCACCTCGCTGCATAGACCGCCGCACAGAGCTTCAAATTGAAATCACCGCTCCGCCTGCTCCATAAGACCAGGGTGGTCTGCGCCGTCCACAAGCCACAGAACCAGAGCTTGCCATTCCAATTCAGTGCACTGCTAGCCTCTCCTCCAGCTGCTTATCGCCTTGCTCACCTTATTCGAAGCTCTACCGCCCTATAGCGTCCTCTCCACGGCTGGCGGAACCACGCCCGAGCAGAGCAGAGCAGCCGATGGTGCGTTACTGCTGTTATTAGCTTGTTGACGTCAGCATGACGTCATCCCTGTGTCACACGTGTTTTAGGGGCCATTTTCTTGTAGAAAAATAATTCGGTGAATACACTGAAATACGTAGACGCGTCGCAGCCGCCTGGGCCAGCTTCCCGCGCTCGCCACACTTGCATCCGCGCCTGGCCGCTTGGGCCAGCTCGCGCTAGCGCCGCGCCCCGCCGTGGGCCGGCCTACTGCACGCGCTCGCATCTGCGCCCGCTGCTGGGCCGCGCTGCCACGCTGGGCCGCGCTCGCGTCGCGCACGCCTGCCGCTGCTGGGTCGCGCTCGCGCCGCTCGCGCGCGCACCCCGCCTGCCTTGCTGGGCTGAGTCGAACCACGCGGGTTGGGCCACGAGTTAGAATTCGTTTTCTTAATTTCCAGTAAAATAGAATTGGTCATTCCAATTAGTTTTCAAGCTGAACTTTAAGAATTTGTAGTAAATTGTGTAGTGGTCCAAAAATAGCAAGACTAATTTTGTTAGGTTCACAAAAATACCATCTATCTGTTAGTGTAGTTAGTTCACAGTTAGTTGTTATGATGATAGGCTCATAAATTCTAATTAGAAAGCTTGGTATTATGTAGATTCATATTTGTAGGAATATTTGTGGACAATTGGTGATAGCTATTGACATAAAAATTTTACAGTAGGTTCCCTAGGCCATTATGTACTTGCTGTAAAATTTTGTAGCCTTAGAATGAGTTGCTAGATAGAGTAGCTATTACCTTTGCTTTATCGTATATTGCGTAAATTAGCATTAGGAGTAAGAATATCTGTAGTTGCTATAATAATCATGAACATCATACTTCAAAATGGTTATCGGTAACAATAGGTAGCCTAGTACTGTGGTCGGTAGCATTAGCTTAGTAGTTAAACAGATGTACTTTTATTTTAGGAGTTGTTGTTGTCATATTGTTAATCATTGCATCATCATTTCATGTAGATCACGAACTGGTAGACTTCGTGCCCGTTGGCGAGCCAAAGTACGACGAGGTGATCAAGGAGTACGAGGAGGAGATCCTCGTGCAGGAGGGAGCTCCAGAGCCTGTTGGTGCTGACCTTACTGACCCGTCGCCTGCCCAAGGCAAGCCCCGGTGCATAACCCTTATTTTAAATGATCACTGATATATATATGATGTGCATTTACGTTACAGACATTTTATAGAAACTACATGCATAAATATATCTACCTATGAGTCCTACTAGTACAGGTCTAGTAGCTGCTATGCTCAGGATATCGGTAGCGTGGGTAACCTGCCGTTACTCACAAGTTGGTGATAAACATGATAACTCATGATAAAATGGTAAAGGAAATGGTGACCAGGCAGGGATATGGTTTGGGTACTGGTGGGTGTGAGAGGTTGTGTCCTGCGGCCAACAGGGCATAGCTCGGTTACACTTTTTCCCTGTCTGTGTCGATTAAGGACCGGCCGTTGCATATGACTCTAGGCAAGTCACAGATTATTGTCCCGAGCGCGTACTTGGGTATGGGCGTAGGGAAGACTTGTTGCTCTCTTGTCGTGGATCCGGCTCTTTCTGGACCGACTGATTGGAGGCGGAGATGGTGGAGGTCCTTACAGCACACTGAGTCTAGGACTCAGGAGTGGGGGCTTGGAGTCCAAGTTTGGACGGGGACCTGGACACCCGGGACAGGAGAGTGGTGGGTTAGTCCGGCTTGTGCCTGGGGTACAAGCGGGGTGTGTGTTTTCGGGGCACGCAGCTA